ATCCTCTAAACATTTTCAGGGGGCAGGATCTTGCCTAAGTCACCTTCTGTTTTGCAAGAATAGATGTGGCAGAGATGGGAAACATGATAACTTTGTCTATAATTTCCTTTAACTCGGGGTGGGCAAAATATGGCCTGCAGGTTGGATCTGGCCTGTGGCAGGTCTTTGTCCAGCCTGCGGCAGGTCCCTCAGTCCTACCTGGCCCAGGCACTGTCCAGCCATGGCATGTCCTACCACCTCCTGGGCACACAGCTGGGCTGGGGTGGCTCTGCAGCTGGACTGCCTTTCTAGGCAGTTTCTGTCCCCTTCCCCCCGCAGCTGCTGCTGAGTCTGGGTGGGCGAGCCCAAAGCAGTCACGGAGGTGGGGCTGTGTAGTGTAGGTCTCCAATGGTACCATGGGGTCGGGGCCAGTGGCGGCAGCCAGAAGGAGCTGCTGCTGCCTAGACTGTCTAGAAAGGCAGTCTAGCTGTGGACCTGCCTCAGCCTCACTGCATGCCCAGGGGGTGGCAGGATATGCCACGAGTGGCTGGTGTAGAACAGACGTGGGGCAGGCCAGGTTGGGGCTGTACCCAGGTTCTGGCTGATCCACTTCAGTCGGGGTGAATCCAGAGCAGGCAGGGGTGGGGCTGGGGCTGCACACTGTTGGCAGTGGTGGGGAGGTGCCCCAGGGCTCTCAGTCTCTGGGTTCTTGTGTGGAGCATTTCCTCTAAGTTGTGTGGTGTGCATGCCTGTGCAGGCGCGCTCATGCTGCACTGCCAGGCGTGGCTGCACATGCCACGCATCTTAGAGGGAACATTGCTTGCAAGATGGGGGTGGGTGCTGACCATCTTGGGGGTGGGTGTGGGGGCTCCCATGTACACCCCACCATACCCACAAACCCTTCTCCGCGCACAATCGCACACCCCACAAACACTGCACCCACCTATACCCTCCTTCACATCTTCCACAAATGCCACACCCCTCCCCACATGCACCCCTAAACACACACTCCCGTGCCTCTGGGGGGAGCCCTGTTCACTGCTCCATGCACGCACCCACATCCATAGACACCCCCAGCTACCTGCCCCCCACAGCCCCCCCATGT